CTTTTTAATCTCTTTGATATAAGAATCTGTGATCAATAAGCGTCTTCCTGTCTTAAGCACAGCATGAAGAAATATGCATGCACCAGTTCATGCGTATCTTGGCACACCTGTTTTCCAACTGGGCAAGCCTATTTTTTTTTTCTCTGTATTGTTTGTTTATTAAATTTATTCGCCGCTCACTTCATCACAAGGCGACACTCTGTGGCTTACAAGGTTAAAAGCAGTAAAACTATACATGTGCGTTTAGTAATTTTGTGTGTGTGTGTGTGTGTATTAACTATTATTAATCTTCTCATCGTTCCCATCACTCATCTCCTTCCACTTATGACTGTATGACTGTAACTTTGTTGCTTGTATCCTTACAATTTATATTGACTGTTTCCTAGTATGATTTGATTGCTTATTTCTACCCTATGACAATCATTAAGTGTTGTACCTTATGATTCTTGACGAATGTCTCTTGTCTTTTGATGTACACTGAGAGCCTATGCACCAAGACAAATTCCTTATGTGTCCAGTCACACTTGGCCAATAAAGAATTCTATTCTATTCTATTCTATTCTATTCTATTCTTGTTCTGTTCTGTTCTGTTCTGTTCTGTTCTCTTCTGCATTCTATTCTATTCTTATTCCACTCCCTATCCTATCCTATCCTATCCTATTTCACTCTCTATTCTATTCTATTCTATTCTATTCTATTCTATTCTATTCTATTCTGTTCTGTTCTGTTCTGTTCTGTTCTGTTCTATTCTATTCACAGTATATGTGTGTGTGTGTGTGTGTGTGTGTATACACACATACACATAATACATGTATGTTTAGTAATATATATACAGTATGTAGGTGGTATGCATGTGTTCAGAATTCAGTCAGAACTGAAGAAGCTTCTTGGATGAGAAGTGAAATGTTTTCAAGGAAAAAACCCCCAAGAAAGGCCTTTTGAAAAGCTCCTTCGGGACTGGATGACTGGATGATGGAGAATCTCCATAGACATTTACCAACATTAACCTGCCAACCATTTGCAAAGGATTCCTACTGGAAAATAGACGCTAATTCTATTTCAAAATAGTGAGCTTCGAATAGTAACACATGGCTACAGCCGTCACTTCTTTACCCTTAGATAGTAACAGTAACAGAGTTGGAAGGGACCTTGGAGGTCACCTAGTCCAACCCCCTGCTCACGCAGGAGACCTATACTAGGGATTCGAACCGCCGAACTGCTGACCTTTCTGATTGACAAACTCAGCGTCTTAGCCACTGAGCCACCTAGCCAGATGGAACACTTACTGTCAAAACAGTATTTTCGGTTTGAACTCATTTCTTCCAAAAGTGTTTGAACATAGAATACTAAAGTTGGAAGGGATCTCGTAAGCCTTCTGGTCCAACCCCCTGCTCAAGCAGATCCTATACCTGTGATGGCGAACCTTTTTGCCATCGCGTGCTAAAAGCAGGGGGAGGGCGGTGGGGTCACACACATGCGTGCCCACATCCATAATTCTATGTGCCCCGCCCCTCATTTTTGGCACATGATGGCACAGTGGGCCCGGTAGGCCCGTTTTTTGCTCTCCCCAGGCTCCACAGCCTTTCTAGGAGTCTGGGGAGGGCAAAAACAGCCTTTCCCCCCCCCAGAGGCCCTCCGGAGGCCGGAAACAGTGTGTTTCCTGACTTCTGGTGGGCCCAGAAGGCCCGAAAATCAGCTGGCTGGCGCACGCATGCGTGCTGGAGCTGAGCTCGCGTGCCCACCGATATGGCTCCACGTGCCACTTGTGGCACCCGTGCCATAGGTTCGCCACCACGGTCCTATACCATTTCAGATAAACAGATTAACAGGATTGGAAGGGACCTTGTAGGTCATCTAGTCCAACCCACCCACCCCTGCCCTAGCTGAAGACCAAGTGAGGTACTAATACCACTCTATAAAGCCTTAGTAAGACCACACCTAGAATACTGAATCCAGTTTTGGTCACCACACTAAAAAAAAGATGTTGAGACTCTAGAAAAAGCACAGAGAAGAGCAACCAAGATGATTACGGGACTGGAGACTAAAACATATGAGGAACAATTACAGGAACTGGGCATGGCTAGTCTAGTGAAGAGAAGGACCAGGGGAGACATGATAGCAGTCTTCCAATACTTGAGGGGCTGCTACAGAGAGGAAGGGGTCAACCTATTTTCCAAGGCACCTGAAGGCCAGACAAGGAATAATGGATGGAAACTGATCAAGGAGAGATTCAAATGGGAAATAAGGAGAAATTTTCTGACCGTGAGAACAATCAACCCATGGAACAGAAGTTGCCTTCGGAAGTTGTGGGAGCTTCATCACTGGAGGCTTTCAAGAAGAGACTGGACTGCCATCTGTCAGAAATGGTGTAGGGTCTCTGGCTTGAGTGGAGGTTGGACTAGATGACCTACAAGGTCCCTTCCGACTCTGTTAATCTGTCTGGTCCCCAATTCCTGCAATGGTTCTTCGTTAGATTTTACCCTCCTGCCCCTTCCTCATTTTTGTCGCTCTCTTCTGCCTGCAGGAGAACTGACTTCCCTTATGTTGGAGAAGGCTTCCATGAGCACAATGGGACGGACAACCGTCCACCGATTTCCCACGCAGGAAATCTTCCAGGCTTTCACAACCAGCCAGTTAAATCATACTGAGCTTTTAAAAGGCTCAGGAGCTTTCCAAACCTAGCCAGCCTCGTAGTTCATTCATAAAAAAAAAGTAAAAAAAAAATAAAAAAAAATCCATGCCTTCCTATAATCAATCCCCAGTGGAAAACCTTTTTCCAAATAATAAACCAACCTCGCATGACATCTGTCCTTTTCCTAGTCTTACTAAGCCTCCCCCACGCATTTTCCAAAAATTAAAAAAAAAGGTTTTTTTTTTAACAGAAACGCATTTTTCGCAGGGTTGAGAAAAAAAAGCAACGAGCAGGGCAGCGTTCTACTCCTCACGTACAACTAACTAACACGCAGAGGGGGAACGGAGGCGGCTGCGGGGAGGGGGGGGGGCAATAGGATAGGAAGGGTGGGGAGAGGAATCGCAGCTAACACTTGTACTCAAACGTCTCCTTGGGATAATCCAACCCCAAACACGATCCCTTCCCTTTTTCTCCTCCCCGCGGAGCGCCCTGGAAAATCGGCTAGGTGATTGGATTACCTTTCTTTGAATGGAGGCGGAGGTGGGGGGGGGACAAGGCAAAGAGGGAGGGGGAGTAGGTGGGGGTGGGTGGGAAGTTACTTTCGTGATGCAATGCCCCCGCCCCACGTGTTATTTCGGCCCCGTTGCCTTGCCTAGGTCTGTTTCAGGCTCCTGGCTCTTTGGGGAGAGGCGAAGTGGGTGGGGGAGAAGAAGTGGGGAGGGGGATGCCTGGTCCAACTCTGCGGTCTCCTGGAAGCCTCTTGCGCCCGTTTCCCATCCTAACTCTCCGGCCACAATTTGCCCCATCCAAAGGCATCTAACGTAGCGCTCCTTTGTAAAGGCTCGGAAAGTCATGGCAGCGACTTCCACGGGGTTTATCCCCACCCCCACCCCAAGAAGGGGGCATCCAAAGAGGGAACTACCTCCCCTCCCCTTCTCGGAGCCTCGTTTTTAGGAAAATTCATCCCGAATAAAACTCAAGTTTGCTATTTGCCATGGTTGAGGACAGGGGTGAAATCCAGCAGGTTCTGACAGGTTCTGGAGAACCGGTAGCGGAAATTTTGAGCAGTTCGGAGAACCGGTAGCAGAAACTTTTGAGTAGTTCGGAGAACCGGCAAATATCACCTCTGGCTGGCCCCAGAGTGGGTCTGGAATGGGGATTTTGCAGTATCCTTCCTCTGCCACACCCACTAAGCCACACCCACAGAACTGGTAGTAAAAAAAAATAGATTTCACCACTGAGGGGTTAGGTAAGAGCAGGACGGTGATGGTGAGAGTTGGGGTGCCTGAATTTTTTTCACATCGCCAACTGGTCCAGAAAAAGTTCTTGCCTTCGGTTCAGTGAAACAAAACACACACACACACACACACACACAAGACCATTTGCTAAGGTCAAAGATTCAACCCAGTCATTTAGAGCAGAGGTCCCTAACCTTGGCACCCCGGCTGGGTGGGTGGGAGAGGAGAGGAGAGGAGAGGAGAGGAACCGGCCAGTGGAAGCAAGCGATGGAGCCGGTAAGTGCGAGACCCACTTCCGAACCGATGTAAGCGGCTCCAGCGAATTGGGGGGAGGGACCCCCCTGATTTAGAGGATGCGAATCCCGTCGGATTTCAGAACAAGCAAGCAAACAGGACGGGGGGGGAGAGAGAGAGTAAGTGAGTGAGAGAGAGAGAAAGAAAGAAAGAGAGAGGTTCGAGAGAGAGGTTCGAGTCCCCTCCTGCGCTCTTTCCCTTTGTCCAAAATGTCACCGATGGGGGGAAAAAAAAACACGTCTCCCTTTTCTTCCCATCCCATCCCATCCTCCCCCTCCCCCCAACGCTCCCTCCCCCCAGCTTCTCCGAAGCGAGAGGTTTTTAAGGGGCAAAGAAGGATGCCCGCCGATTTCTCCCCCTCCACCCCACCTTCCTTTCATTCCTGGGGTGCATCGGGGATTTCAGTGGCGTTTCCCCCCCCCCCCCCCCCTCCCATCCCATCCCACCCCCAAGGAAAGGAACGGAGCTGTAGAGCGGCTGCTTCCTCCAGCCGGGGTCTCGAACGCCGAGCGAGTGGCGTGCGCGAGTTCTGCCCAAGCTCAGAGCGCGATCGCCCTGGCAAAAGGGAAATGAATGTTAGCCCCCGCGCGAGCCAATGAGCGGAGACCGGATGCGATATATCCTCCTAGGACAACAACTGCTCTCTGTTCCTCCTCAGATCCACATGACGCCATTTACTTTTGCTTTTGCCCAGAGATCACCCTGCCTCCTCCGGAAAGGAGAAGGAGGAGGGGGGAGGGAGGGAGAGAAAAAAAAAAAAAAGAAAAAAAGAAAAGGAGAAAAAAAAAAGCGAGAGAGAGGAGGAGGAGGAGGTAGTGGTGGGGGAGAGCGAGGGAGCAGCAAAACGCCGAGGCTCTTAAGAGACCGATCTCAAACCTGCTTTTCTGCAAAGATATAAACAGCAAAGCAGAGAGAGCAGCCGCTTAGCAAAACCCCCGCTGGTGGTTTTTTTTTTTTTTTCTTTTCCTCCTTTTCCTCCCCTCCCCTTTAAAACAACAGCAACTCCCCCCTCCCCTTTTGCAATCAGTAAAGCTGCCTTGGGGGAGAGAGAGAGAGAAAGAGAAAAAGAGGGAGAGAGAGAGAGAGAGAGAGAGAGAAGGGGGAAAAAAAACACGCACTCACGTACAGCACACAAACTCCGAGGAAGCGAGCAAGCGAGCCACCGACCACTTTTTTTAAAAAAAAAATAATAATAATAATAACCAGCTATCCTCCTCTCCTTTTCCTATTTTTATTTTTAATTTTTGCAAACCGTTCGGAGTCGGGGAAGGGGTGGGGGGGAGAGGAAGCCAGCGATCCGACCAAAAAGGAGGAAAAACAAAAAAAAAGAAGAAGAAGAAGCGATCTGGAAAAGATTCTGAGCCACTCCGGGAATCGTTAATTTTTTTCTTTTTTTTAAATTATTTTTGTTGACCCACTTCGGGTCGCTCGCTCGTGTTGTTTCCCCCTCCTCGCCTTCCTTTCGGCGTACGGTGCAATGCGGAGAGAGAAAAGTGGCTGCAGAATGACGAATCGGCCTTTTCATTGAGAAAAAGAAGAGAGGAAGGAAGGAAGGAAGAGAGAAAAAAAAAAGCGACAAGGAGATCGCGAAGGGGGGAGCAAAATCCTCGCAGGATCGGGAAAGAAAAGGGCGACTTTTTTTTTTATTGTTGTTTTCTTTTTTCTTTCTTTTTTTTTGTCAAGAAATCCGTTGATTGTGGTGCAGCGGCGTGCGGCTGTCTGGCTTACGACTTGTGATTTATTTTTTTTTCCCCTCTCTGGAGAAGAGAAGAGTGAAAGCAAAGAGGAGAGGGAGAGAAACAGAGAAAACCTTTCCAAGTTTGCAGTGGATTTTTTTTTTCTTCTCCTCCCTCCCTCGGTCTAAAAACGCAAAACATTTCGATGCTTTTCGCTTACAACCTGGACTCGAAGTGAGTTTGCAACGGGGGGAAACGCGTTTTGTTTCTCCTTTCTTTCTTTCTTTTCTTTCTTTCTTTTTCTTCTTTCTTTCTTTCTTTCTTTCTTTCTTTTCTTTCTTTCTTTCTTTCCTTCCTTCCTTCTTTCTTTCTTTCTTTCTTTCTTTTCTTTCTTTCTTTCTTCCTTCCTTCCTTCCTTTTTCTTCCTTCCTTCCTTCCTTCCTTCCTTCCTTCCTTCCTTCCTTCCTTCCTTTTGGCTTCGGGCTTTGGATTTACCCGTCCACCGCAGGAAGACGCGGGGGGGGACAGAGAGAGAGGGAGAGAGAGGGGGGGAGAGAGAGACCTGGGGGTCGTGATGGAGAGGGAGGATGGGGGAAAGAGAGAGAGGGAGGGAGGGAGGGAGGGAAGGAGGGAGGCAGGGAGAGAGACCTCGGGGGTCGTGATGGAGAGGGAGGATGGGGGAAAGAGAGAGAGGGAGGGAGGGAAGGAGGGAGGCAGGAGAGAGACCTGGGGGTCGTGATGGAGAGGGAGGATGGGGGAAAGAGAAAGAGAGAGGGAGAGGGAGGGAGGGAGGGAAGGAGGGAGCGAGGCAGGGAGAGAGACCTCGGGGGTCGTGATGGAGAGGGAGGATGGGGAAAAGAGAAAAAAAGAGAGCGAGGGAAAGCTTGGGGTGACCTCGCTTGCACGCCTGCAGTTTTGTCCTTCCCTTTTGCAAAGCGGACTCCCGGTGAGGAGAGAGAGAGAGAGAGAGAAGCCAAGGCTTGTCAAAGAAACGTGAGGATCTGAGCCGTTGGCTTCGGTTGGGGGGGTTTCCCCGGTTCGCGCTCCCTTCTCCCTCGTTGGGGACAGGCAGAGAGGGGCGCGATGGAGCCACCTTGGCGAGGTGCGCTTGGAAAGGGCGCGGGGGATTTTTGCGGGTGCTGAAGTCCGACCCCAAGGTTGATCGCCTGGGATCAACCCTGCTTGGACGATCCCTTCCGAAGGCTTTGCAAGCAGGGGAGCCCCCCACCACCACTCACCCGTGACCCGATCGTCAGTGGGGAACTGGCGTGGCGTTTGCCCAAAGGGCAGTAAAAAAAAAATCTTTCAGGTTCAGAAAAGCTGGTTGCAAGGAGGAGCAACTGTCTTTTTCACCGGGGAGCGCAGCTCGCCTGCAGCCGGGGTCGCTTTTTGCAAAGCGGGCTCCGGGTAAATCTTTTAAGAGCCGTGGGGAAGGCTGAGGAGGGGGGCGCTTCCCAACCTGTCAAGGTTGGACTTCCGAGCCCCGGATTCTGAAATCAGCTTTGGGGCTTCTGCTGCTTGAAACGGAAGGCTTTAAAAAAAGGGGGGGGGAAACTTGCGTAGTTGCAGCCTTTTCTGGGTGCAATTCGGAAGTGAGAGAATGTAAAATTTTGTTTTTTTTTAACAACCCCCCCTCCCTCTTCTTCCCCCTCTGCTGGGGAAACAAGACTGGAAAAGGGAGCAAGGCCGCTGCCAAAATCAACTTTTGCAGCCACGCTTGTTGACATTTACCCCACCGCTTTCCTTGCCTGCTATTTTATTTGGGGAGGGGGACATTCCTTGTTTTGGAAATAGCTGGCCATCTCCTCCCCCCCTCTCCCCTCAGTTTGGGCCATTTTCTAGCTGCACTAGATTTAACCTCTGGCCGAAGCGAAGACAAGGCGAGAGTCGGTGATAAGAAACGGTGGAGGTTCTCAAAGTTTGTCTTAACTCTTTTTTTCCCCTGATGTCCTTCTGTCTGTCAAAAGGGACTTGGCTGTGTGCCTTGTCAATTTCCCCTCATATCGACTTTTTTGAGAGAGAGAGAGAGAGAGAGAGAGAGAGAGAGAGAGAGAGAGGTGATGATAGATAGATAGATAGATAGATAGATAGATAGATAGATAGATAGATGATAGACAGACAGACAGACAGACAGACAGATAGACAGATAGTTATAGAAAGAGATAGAGATAGATAGATAGAGACAGAGAGAGAAAGTAGGGAAAGAGAAAACTGTTTAGAAAGTTCATTGAGGCGGAGAGCGGTTGTTTTTTCCCCTCTCCTTGTGAATAAACCCTGATTTTTGACACTGGCAGAAAAGCCATCTCCCTAAATAGACACATATATCAGTGGTGGGAGAGAAACCGTCCAGTTTTAAAAGAAGAGTTTAACTGCTGGTGGATTTTTTTCCCCCTCTTCTCAACACCTGCCTGACATTCATAGAGAAATCAATCTATTTGTAGACTAGGGAAAGTGGTCATAGGTCACGCTACCTCTGCTGCCGCCGCCACCCCCCCCCCAGCCCCTCTATGGGCAAAGACATTCTGGGGGCTGTTATTGTATTTATTTATTTGAGGGGGGGAGTTCAGCCTGCTGTTTTTTTCATGCCTTGATGTGTGTGTGTTTGGGGGGGAGAGAGAGATTGCTTGACAATTATATGCAGATCAAATCCAAAGAGTGACTAGAGAGAGAATACTGCCTTTTAAAGCAGGGTTGTTGTTTTTTTTCTGGGGCTCTGGAGGAGAGACTAACATCCTATCAAAAGTAACACCGAGGGAGTCTTGTACGATTTAGGCCAGGTAAAGGAATAAGGGAGAGGGAAGGACTCTGGCTTGGTGTTCCTGAATGGAGCTGCTATCTAGGAGGCTTTACATAAGCATAAGTCCCTGTTTGGGTGGAGAGAGGAAGAGAGGGAGCAAAGCTATCCTGATAAGGCAATCTTATTACTAGCCCCATTCCCCACTGCCTTTGCTCTCCCACCTCCCTTTCCTCTCCCAGCCAGGATGTTTTCCAGCTCAACTCCAGGTTGTTGGTGAGCTCTTTCTGCAAGATCAGGACGGCTTTAGAGGCAAACAAATAGTGTAGGTTCCAAAAAGTCCTATCGAGGAAGAATTAAGCTCAGGTGGAGAGATGTCAAACTAATCTCTTTTTTTAGGGCAAAGCTTTGTCACGGAAATCCTAAATTTACAATATGAAACCTCCCGGGTTCCTGCATTTCTCTCTCTCTCTCTCTCTCTCTCTCCTCCACCCCCACCCCATGCAGGATTAAAATAAAGCAACACCCATTTTTATACGGTTATTGCAAAATAAGTCTGTACCTGACTTTCATCCAGCAGTAGCTGAGTTCTGTTTGTTCATGTTCTTAGAAGGCAAATTGAAGTCAGGGTTTTCAAGCACTTCTCCAAAGTGGTTTTTATTTTGTTTTTTTGGAGGAATTATTAAATACTTTGCAAGCAAAGGGCCACAAGATTGTGATCCCCCTTTCTTGCCAGGTTTCCCTGCAAGAAAATAAATCCTGCAAAGTTTAGTTGGACAGGCAGTGTTTGAATGCTTGTGTATTCGAAAGTGTGCCCTGCTGAATTGCAGGGAATATAATGAGGTTCAGTTTAGTTCGTCTTTTACCAGTCGGAGGGAACCGTTCACCTTGGTGAAATAGATCTTGTTAAAACCTCAAGAAAGTAAGAATTTCAGCTTTCTTCCCCCCCCCCCCCCCATCATTCCAGTTTGACATCTTTGTTACTCTGAGCATAGTTCATTGTGCTTCTGCAGCTAAGCAATATGCTTTTAGCAAGCAAAAGTTTTAAGTTGAAGCAAGCGGGTGTCACATGCTGTTCCTGGAATTGTGTGATTTATTGTTAATGTGTAGGATGTTTGCCCATGTAAGCCAAACCACCTTTTCTGGCAATGTTCAGGAAGTGAATGGATTATCTCTGGGTGTTATGAATGCACAATGCAAATCCTGACAGTGCTTAGCATTGTAATGTTGGTACTTACTGCTGGTAACTTTGAATTGCAAAGTGGAGCACAAATGCAAAATTGTGAAGAGAGAGAAGGTCTGGCTTTTGGGGGGTTTTGTTTTGTTTTGTTTTTTCATCTCACGTAAGACTAACCTCTAATACTCAAAAAAGTATTTGTTTATTCAAACAACCTTATTGTTCCTGACTGTCTTCTGCTATCGTTGCACAGAATTATTCCCTTTTTCCTCTCTTCATGTTTTGTCTTCATGTTTCATGTGCTGCCAACATTTTTCTTAGATTGCCATATAAGTGTCAGAGCTACTGTTCTGCTGGCCCCATTTTGCTCACAGAGTTTCGGGGCTACTTCCGGTAGTCCTCGGCTTACGACCACGATTGAGCTCAACATTTCCGTTGCTAAGCGAGATGTGGTTAAGTTTGGCCCCGTTTTGCGACCTTCCTTGCCACATTTGTTAAGTGAATCGCTGCAGTTGTTAATTAATTAATTAATTAATTAATTAATTAAGTTGTTAATTAACATGGTTGTTAAGTGGCTTGCTCTTTGACTTTGCTTGTCAGAAGGTCGCAAAAAGTGATCACATGACCTCCCCAGGATACTGCATAAATACGTGCCAGTTGCCAACGGTTCAAATTTTGATCACGTGACCTTGAGGATGATACAATAGTCATATAAAATGTGGTCATTAGCCACTTTTTAGTGACGTACAGGTCACTAAATGAATGGTTGTAAGCAGTGGTGGGATTCAAGTAATTTAACAACCAGTTCTCTGCCCTAATGATTTCTTCCAACAACCAGTGTGCCAAACTGCTCAGAAAGTTAACAATCGGTTCTCCCGAAGTGGTACTAACCGGCTGAATCCCACTACTGGTTGTAAGTCACGGACTATCTGTATTATAATTCTACAACTTGAAGAGGACCAAGTTCCAGCTTTCTCCCAGCTAAATCCTCAATCCTATATTCTCTTACTTACAGAATAAGGTCCTTGAAATCAGTGGCTCCTAGCTGTACTTATGTAAGCTTTTTCTATATGGGGTAGGAATTTGGAAAGCCCATCTGGAGTGTCATTCAAATGTAAACCCTAAAAGTCAAGCGACGGAGATAGAGACAGATTTTTCACTAGGTTCGTTGATCAGGATTGTGGAGTGAGCCACATGCAGCTGCTTGCCAAGTGTCCACTTCAGAGCAAACTTAAGTTTGTGTCAGGTGTGGAAAAAGCTGCAGACTGACTTACATGCAGGTCAGTGTTGTTATTGAAAGTCATAATTCCAAGGAAGTGTTGGAAGTAGTGTTGCATTTCCATAAACTTGGCCCAATTCAGGTTGGCAAATAAAGGTTGGTTTCCTTAAAGCATGCCTTTATTTCAAGATCAAGACTTCAGTTGATTGACTTTCCTTCCTGAGACTGGGTGCAAGGCTGCACCCTGTTGCATTGCCTGGCAAAGCAAACATCCACACCTGGATAGGCAAAAGAAAAACTAACTAACCCTCTCTTTCTTTCACTTAGGATTTCAGATGTGTTCTAAGCTCCCTGGAGTGATAGCTGTTCAGGATACTGATGGAGACGAGAGCTCAGAATGGCAGCGGGTTACAACCCTTGCTTCAAGGCCAGCATGACACCGGGAGACAATTTGGAGATTCTGACCTGAGGGATGTCCTAGCACAACAAGTTCACGTTTTGTCCTTGGACCAGATCAAGGCGATCCGAAACACGAATGAATACACAGAACCTCCTACGGTGGCTCCCCGACCGGGACTGAAGCCAGCACCACGTCCAGCGGTCCAGCACAAGAGCGAAAGACCGCACGACTTGACGGAGCAACGTCATCTGAGCAGGCTTCCCCATCCCCAGGTCCATGCGTCTTCTCGACTTCCGCTCTCCCGTTCCATCAGCACGGTCAGCAGCACTAGCTCGCGGGGTAGCACGAGGACAAGTACGAGTAGCAATTCATCAGAACAGAGACTTCTGGGGTCATCCTTGGGGACCGTTGTCGAGGGGATAATACGAGTACAGCCGAAATCGGAACTGAAGTCTCGGGAGTTGAAACCCGCCAGCAAAGAAAATTTGCATATGCACGCCTACCGATGTGAGGACTGCGGGAAGTGTAAGTGTAAGGAATGCACTTACCCGCGGACTCTTCCGTCCTGTTGGATCTGTGATAAGCAATGTCTTTGCTCGGCCCAGAACATGGTAGATTACGGGACCTGTGTCTGCTGTGTGAAGGGTCTTTTCTACCACTGCTCCAATGACGATGAGGACAACTGTGCCGATAACCCCTGTTCGTGTAGCCAGGCCCACTGTTGCACGCGGTGGTCCACCATGGGCGTTGTGTCCCTTGTTCTGCCTTGCTTGTGGTGTTACCTACCAGCCAAGGGTTGCCTTAAATTGTGCCAAGGCTGTTACGACCAAGTCAACAGGCCAGGTTGTCGCTGTAAACAATCCAACACGGTTTGCTGTAAAGTTCCCAAAGTCCCACCCAGGAATATCGACAAGCCAACATAGCATCCCTAATCGGGTAAACAAGGATGACGACAGAACATCAAAAGGGGGGGCCAACTAAGTGATCTATAACTGTGGCACTGTTTCTTGGTGGTGGTGGTGGTTGGGGGGCAGCAATGGGAAAAGTCCAACCTCGTGGAGACCCTTCTTAAGAATCCGCCCAAGAGAGATCCAGAGCGAGAATACGCTTGGCAGCACCTAAAGTATTGCATAAGCTAAGAGACTCGAGCTACTTCTAAGCAAACTCGCGTGTTGTGCGTTTGTGTGTTTTTTTTTAAAGGAATTAGTACACTTGTAAATTAGGAAACTACTTCAACCAACTCCCGGTTATTTTCTGCCAGAGATGTGCTATATTTTTGTATATAGGATATTTTCAACTGTGAAAACACAAGTGTCATAGAAGCAAATATGGCACACAGGTCACAAAATATTATACTAATGTTGTACATTCAAAAGAATGTGAATCAATCCATATGGCTTAGATTGTATTATTATTATTATTTTTTGGCCTTATGAAGCCCTTCAATGGCAAGACTCTTGATTCTTTTTTCCCCTTTTGGACAGTTGCAGTAAAATGGAGTCTTTATTTTCTAATTTTTTTTTTTCAATATATTGTCTAGTGTAAAGAATATTTATTTGAAGTTTTATTATTTTATAAAAAAAATAAATATTTATTTTAAGAGGCATCTTACAAATTTCACCCCTTTTTATGAGGATGCCACCATTGCTGCAAATTAGGGGTGAAAAAATACATATATTCCCTATAAAATAGAAAATATATTAACGTTTGAAATTAAACCGGGCTGTTTGTCATTTTTTTTTTCCTTCCGTTCCCCTCACTTCTTTGAATTGAGCAATTGCATCTATAATTAGGATGTTTAGAAAAAGAAGCAAGTATCAAAGGTATTTTTTGTAAGCTTTTGTTTGGTGTTTAGGGGACAGAGAAATATATACAAAAGTAGAGTTAAATGATAAAGGTTGTTAAAGAACTTAAGATCATCAGTAGTGCCAATATTACATTCAACTATGGCCTCTGTCAAAAAAAAAAAAGCCAATTATATAGGTAGTCCTCAACTTACAACAATTCACTTAGTAACTGTTTGAAGTTACAACGGCAATGAAAAAAAGTGACTTATGACCATTGTTCACACTTAACGACCATTGCGGTATCCCTGTGGTCACGTGATCAAAATTCAGACGCTTGGCAACTGACTTGTATTTATGACAGTGTCCTGGGGTCATGTGATCCCCTGTTGTGAACTTCTGACAAGCAAAGTCAACGGGGAAGCCAGATTCACTTAACAACCTAACAGCTGCAGTGATTCGCTTAACAACTTTTTTTTTTTTTTGCTTTAATTTATATGCCGCACTTCTCCGGAGACTCAGGGCGGCTTACAATGCGTTAAGCAATAGCCTTCATACTTTTGTATATTTATACAAAGTCAGCTTATTGCCCCCACAATCTGGGTCCGCATTTCACCTACCTTTGAAAGGATGGAAGGCTGAGTCGACCTTGATCCTGGTAAGATTCGAACCTGCAGTAATTGCAGGCAGCTGTGTTAATAACAGGGTGCTTTAAACCACTGTACTACAGGCTCTTGGCAAGGAAGGTTGTAAAATGGGGCAAAATTCACTTGAACAAATGTCTCACTTAGTCACATAAATTTTGGGCTCTATTGTGGCCGTACATTTGAGGACTGCCTGTATTTGATAGCAATGTTTCTTTCCCCCACTAACGAGAACAAAATGAATACGGAGCAGTTACAGAATTACGTGGCCTGGGGAAATAGGATTGTGTCTGTAGATATTAAAAGGGAAAGAGGTTACCTGTTTAGGTACGCTGTTCCCATTTTCAATAGGCACATAAACAATGCCTTTCTTTGGGTTCATTATTCAGCAAGGCCTGGTTTATGAAAAGTGCAAAAAATATATGTTCCATGCAAAGAATAGAAAAGCCAGAAGCAAAATAATTTTTCCTGGAAATCTGAATACACTCTAGGCCAAGCTTCTGGTTGAGGCATCGTTGCTAGAGCTACTTCTGCCTAAGTAAGTGTCCTTCTGCTTCCAAAGTTCTCGCAGGAAAACAAAATTAACGCCCAGTTGCATTAACAATCTTTTCTGTCTTTCAAAGTCCGGCCTTCCAAGTCTATAGTGCTGATTACACAGACAACAAGTAAATAAAACCTGCCACAAGTGAGTGTATTAGAGAGAGAGAGAAATGAGATCATTATTTTTATGAAACAAAACAAACAGCCGTATTGAGGTGCCCTCATTGTCCTTTCCAATCTGAAATAATTTAAGAATGTCGTCATGATTGTGTTGGTTGGATCACAGCAGAAATTCTGGAAAGGAGTTGGGAAATTCTCGTTCCAGTGATGGATAATGAGATGCCTCATCAATTAAATTCACAAGTGGACGTGGAAATGTGGCCTGTTTTGTGAATTCCTGGTGCAGTTATATACTGCCATTTATTTGCTCAGGGACGTTCCTTGTTGGAAGAGTTGAATTTAAGCATATCAGAAATGATTGCTTGTATAGGATAAAATCAGCTTTATCATTGAGCAGTTGAAGCTGCTGACACATTTTCTGCCTAACAGAACAGTTTTGCAAGCCAGTGGCTTCCTTGTGTATGTTGTTTTTTCCTCTCCCAACATCTTCAGTTTAATGAAGAGAAGGTACTAGGGGAGAAATGATAGCAGTGTCCCAATATCTCCGGGGTTGCCACAAAGAAGAGGGAGTCAAACTATTCTTCAAAGCACCTGAGGGTAGAACAAGAAGCAATGGGTGGAAACTAATCAAGGAGAGAAGCAATTTAGAACTAAGGAGAAATTTCCTGACATTTAGAACAATTAATCAGTGGAACAACTTGCCTCCAGAAGTTGTGAATGCTCCAACACTGGACGTTTTTAAGAAGATGTTGGATAACCATTTGTCTGAAGTGGTGTAGGGTTTCCTGCCTGGGCAGGGGGTTGGACTAGAAGACCTCCAAGGTCCCTTCCAACTCTGTTATTCTATTCTAACATGAGACAATTCTGCAAGTTGAAGTTGGATATATGACTTCAGACAACAAAGTGTTCCTGTTGATGTAACCTATGACTTTTTGTGACATAGAATGACAGAATAACAGAGTTGGAAGGACCTCAGAGGACTTCTAGTCCAATTTCCTTCTCAAGAAGGAGACCCTATACCATTTCAGACAAATCATTGTCCAATCTCTTCTTAGAAACCTCCAGTCTTGGAGCATTCACAATTTCTGGAGGCAAGTCCTTCCACTGATTAATTGCTCCAACTGTCAGGAAATTTCTCCTTAATTCTAGATTGCTTCTCTCCTTGATTAGTTTCCATCTGTTGCTTCTTGTCCTGCCTTCAAGTGCTTTGGAGAATAGGTTGACCTCCTCTTCTCGGTGACAGCTCCTTAGATATTGAGACACTGCTATTTAATCAGAGGATGGTTTTGCCTTTTTGAGAAAATATATGTAATTCTGAAATCTTTGTTTTCATCACGCATGGAGATCTGCACGTGTAGGTCATATTTTTCTGGCAATGTGGAAAAATGTGACTGCTATGCTTTCTTAAGCAATGATTCCATAAAGATATATATTTAGATTAGTCTGCCCAAAAAACTTGTTTTTGTGCATAAGCCATATTGTTCTTTCTATATTGCAAGTTTGGAGGCATTGTAAATCTAAATCTGGTACCATGTAAGTGTATTGGACCATGGTCTTCAAAACTGCCAACAATGATCATCAAGATTTGATTAAATCAGATTGGTCAATTTGATCAGATTGTCAGTCATAAATCGATTGTCAGAGTATCAAATCAGAGAAGGAATTTGCTCCCATGATTAAGGCACCAGGCTAGAAACAGGTGGAAATCTAGTTCCACCTTAGGCATGATAGCTAGCTGTGTGACTATGGGCCAGTCATTTCCTTTCAACCCAATTTATAAATTTGTTGTGAGGAAAATAGGAGCAGGGAGGAGTTTCTGACATTTGCAAGTCCAAACTTAATCTAAGAAAAGAATAAACTAGCAAAACTATTATGCTATAAATTAATTGGTTGAATGTTCTTGTATTATTTTTTTTTTTAAAAAAAAACATTCTTCAAGTAGCTGATCCAGTATTATTCTATCAGGAATGAAGGTGAATAGCCCATTTAAAATACTTCTAATCTGCATCGAATTTTTTTTTTTTTTAAATTTGATTTATATGCCGCCCTTCTCCGGAGACTCAGGGCGGCTTACAATGTGCTCAGCAATAGCCTTCATCCTTTTGTATATTTATACAAAGTCAGCTTATTGCCCCCACAACTGGGTCCTCAATTTACCTACCTTAGAAAGGATGGAAGGCTGAGTCAACTTTGAGCCTTGACGAGATTCGAACCTGCAGTAATTGCAGGCAGCTGGTCTTAATAACCAGCTTAATAACAGGGTGCCTTAGACCACTGTACTACCAAGGCTCTTGCAGTCAACTTAAACTCAATTCAAATTTTATTGCAGTCTACAACTGTTATCTAAGATGTAGTTCAACTTTCCCCAAAGGCTGTTTTGCTGGGGATGATGGGAATTGTGGTCAGTAGATGAAGGAGAACTTGCTTAATACTTGACATTGTAGCAACCAATTTCAAGTTAATCCCTCAAGAAGAACACTTTTTAACAAATTCGATGCAGACCATGTATCATCTCACACATGCAGTCTATCTCTTTTTTTGTTTTTTTCTTTAAAAATCAGGTGTTTCCATATATAAAATACAGATGGTCCTTGACTTATGACAACAATTGAGCCCAAAATTTATGTTGCTAAGTGAGAAATTAGTTAGGTGAGCTTTGCCCCATTTTAGGACTTTTCTTGCCACACGTGTTAAGCGAGTCACTTAATTAATTGGTAAGTTAGTCACACAGTTGTTAAGTGAATCTAGTTTCCCCATTGACTTTGCTCGTCAGAAGGTCGCAAAAGATGATCACGTGACTCCTGGGACACTGCAACCGTCATAAATCTGAGTCAATTGCCAAGCATCGAATATAAATCACGTGCTGCAACAGTCATAAGTGAAAAATGAAGTCACTTTTTTTCAGTGCCATTGTAATTTCAAATGGTTGCTAATTGAAGAGTGATAAGTCAAGGACTACCTGTAATCATTTTTTTTTATTTATCAAATGTACATGGCCACCTATCTGTTGTGGCCCGTCAGCGGCCTGTGCAGATTGTAGCTGATTCCGACAACGAGGAGGCTGGTGTGGTGCAGCCTGTGCAGCTGGCACTCGAGTCGGACAGTGAGGAGGCTGGAGAAGATGTGGTGCCAGAGGCAGAGATTCAGCCAAGGCTTTCTGACTAAGACTAAAGTTATTGAGTAAAATAAGCTTTGTATAGAGTTTGTGTGTGCTGCGTTCTTTGGGGTCCGTAGCTAGGGCAGAACACTATCTCACACACAGGGTGGCATGCAATAAAATTCATGAAAAATGAGACATGCATGATCTGGACACAGATGTTAGGCTTATTGTAAAGCAGGACTGATTAATTTGTTTCTACTTCAGTATGTGTGGAATTGAAGTGGTGATATAGTATGCATCACAACGTCTTTGTTTGCAATACCAACATACTCAATTAAGATACTACCATTTCTGAACTATCGGAAAATATCAGCCTGACTCAGGGGTAGGTTCTACTTACCTTTACTACCGATTTGCAGTGGGGCCGCACGCACGCGCGCTCTTCTGCGCAAACGCAGAAGCTTCTGCGCATGTGCAGAAGCATTTTCATGACGTCAGGGTCGGTGGGCGGAGCCTCCCACCATTTTATT